CTCCTGCTTTGTCAGTTATATTGTCCACCTGTGCCCCCTGGGTAGCATAATCTGATTCTTTTCTCCCTATTTACCCCACAGACTATTCTATCCACATGCCTTGTCAAGGAATCACCTATAACTATAACCTCCTTATCATCCATATCCTTCTCTGACCCTTTTGTTTTCCTTCCCTCCAATAGTTCCTTATCTGCAGAAGCCAAGGGCTGAAATTTGTTGCTCAACATAATAGACGCATTATACCTAAATTCACTACTTTTAGCCCTAACAGTACTCTTTCTAACTTCCTGAAAGTCAATGTTAGCTGATGTATCCCTTGCATGAAATCCTACTGCCATTTCCCACAATCTATATTTCTCTATCTATTGCCTCTACTTTAATCATAATTGCATCTAACTTCTCCTCCAACCTACAAACTCTACATATAAATTGCACATCTTCATTACTAGCTTCCTTAAAAGTACATTCCAGTCCAGAGTTATCATATAAAACCCATTCATTGCACCCATTACACCTAACAAACTGTGAATGCTTAACTCTGACACTAGTCTTAACCATTGTATTTATACTTATAGCCTGAAAATAAATACTTATTACCAGTAGCCTATTGTTAACACTGTTACTGTTAAGCCTAACATTTAAGAACCAATTATATAATTTTTTCTCACTACTCTGTCTTCACACTAAAGTAATAAAGTTTATCTTTAATTAAATAGAACTTAATAATTTATTCAAACAATATATGTAACATTAATAATAAAACATATTTACTTTAGCCTAATTTATATTACAACCTACCTATATCTATAAGCTAAATGTAAATTAATGGATCTAAGTTCAAATAAACACGTTAATTCTAGAACACCAAGAGACAATAAACTAATGTTTAGATTGTATTTATTTAATAAAACAATTTATTTATTCTGTTTTACAATTTACCAGTGAGTATAAATATACCTAAGTCTAAAGTAACATTAAATGTACTAAGCCTATTTTAAGTTAAAATGTTGTAATAATAATTTACACCCCTAAATTCTAACTTAAAACTTTGACCGCCTTACTTTTATTTACCAATCTTATAATATCTAGTTATTATTGTGCTATTTAACCCTAATTACTACAAATTACAATGATAAAAATAAATAACTTTCAGATATCTATGAGCTTAACTTTTCATTGTATTAGAAAAAGTCAATGTTTAATAGCACACAACAAATATTTAAAACTAAGACTGTTCCCAGTCTCAAAATACAATAAAAAAATTTTGTTTTACTTAATTTACTTTATAAAGATAAAATACCATGATACTAGGAACAATGTTATACATCTGTGTTAAGGAAAACCATTCTTCTCCAAAAATATTTTTGATATCAATTTGTGAAAATGTGAATAAAATCAATGAGTGTTAAGAGAAGCTAGCAAAGCTCAAGGCAGAGGTTCAACAATTTTGTGAATCAGTTTGTTTTCAATTCTTATTTTAATTTTAGTCCTCCTTTGAAAAATCCTTTTGTTATATAAATAAAAAATCATTTATTAAAATAATAAATAGTTAAAAGCTGTTTTGTTTGCAGCTATTAAACATATATACATACATCAATTGAGATAAATAATTTAAAAAAAATGTACCTCTATATTCATTTCTAAAACTAATAGTAGTACTAATTACAGTACATCAATTTTTGGAAAGTTATCATTTAATAAAGGTATGGTTTTTAAAGTCCTTACATACTATAAACTATTTTATTCGTATTACAAATAATTATTCAATAAATATCTCAGTGAAATTTCTCCAGTTATTAAACTTTTATTTCACAAGCTTTGAGTACCAATACCTGAACCTTCAACAGTGAGTAAGTTTCATGTAAATAAATGAAAAATATCTTGTTAAATGTGCCAAAGCTTATAAAATTAAAAGCCAAACAAGGTTCAGAAAGTTCTGAGACATACTAATTTAATAATTTTATTGCACAGCATGCGTACATAAAATTTAAATAATATTATTTTTTGATAAAAGTAGGTCTACTTAAGCATGATTGCTTTAACTGAAATTTTATTTTTAAATTTTGATAAGGAACTACTCACTTGGTTGGAAATTATAACAACTTTGAAACCATCTTTATGTAACTGCTTTAACTTTCCTGGAATTTCTGGGAACAATATCCTGGTAGGAAAGATAAGACGGGTTTAAGTATCTGGGAACAATATCCTGGTAGAAAAGATAAGACGGGTTTAAGTATCTGGGAACATTATCACGGTAGAAAAGATAAGACTGGTTTAAGTATCTGGGAACAATATCCTGGTAGAAAGATTAGACAGGTTTAAGTATCTGGGAACAATATCCTGATAGAAAAGATAAGAAGGGTTTAAGTATCTGGGAACAATATCCTGGTAGAAAAGATAAGACAAGTTTAAGTATCTGGGAACAATATCCTGGTAGAAAAGATAAGACGGGTTTAAGTATCTGGGAACAATATCCTGGTAGAAAAGATAAGACGGGTTTAAGTATCTGGGAACAATATCCTGGT